TAATCCAAAAATCGTATTTTGGGGTAGTTTTTAATTTTTTTCACCCCTTTCCCGGTGGTTGAGAACTTTTTTACTTTGCCCACAGTATTGTACGCATTTTTCTGATAATTTYCATATTTTTTYWGCCGTATAGCTCAAAAACCCGATTTCAGGGCTATTTTGACTGGACTAGTAACCGCCACAGTCTCCTTCTTTCCACACATTTATAGTCTCTTAAGTAACACCCCTTTTGGAAAGAGTAGGAGATTCTTAGTTCGATTAACCAATAGCACAAGGGTCCGTAGTCCAAGGTCCACTAAAGGGTACCGCATATGTTTTTCGTTAGAGGAAACAGTGCCCAAGGAGATCTCTATCAATAAAATAAAACCTAAACAAATAATTACAATTGTTCGCCGGATCCGATGCAGCATGTGGAATTTTATTACCCTCACAGGTTATTGATCCCTTAGGTTTTATGACCGAATAGCTCTTTCCAATATTTCCTTTTTTTTAGCAATAATTCTTTCTAGACACATGTCCGTTTACGATGCAGGTGAGAGTTCTTCACATCCTTCCACCTGGAGTTATCAACTCCACATATACGTTAATATACTAATTTACTGAGTGAAATAAAAATACAAATTACACAGAGATTACGCTTTATAGAAACAAGAATTCTTACTGATTCGTCCACTTCGCGTTTTTAATATGTCTGTCGCATCGCATTCCGTCTTAGGTTTACACTCTTTTTCTCTTGCATTGGTAGGAGTAAATTTCTCATTCATTGTCACACTCTCATTCTCTACATTCATACTATCGCTCTCGACTTTTAGCGGATAAATACGTTTTAATGGTCTCTTTAAATTTCCGTCTTTGGTTCGCAGAATCGCGACCCTCGCTGTACTGTCACGACCCATTATCAGCCTTTCGATTCTAGCCAAAGGCCACGCGATACGTTTTCGATTGTCGTCGCCTATCATGACGACATCACCTGGTTTTAAGATACGAGATTCTTTTAAAACTAGCTGACTAAGATATTCTTTTCAAAAGCGTTCCCGTAAATGTTTTATAAGTTCTTGCTTATGTCGAATAGCTTTATCAAAATTCATTCTTCTACTAATATCTACATCTGGACATTCAGATTCTCTAAGATCTTGCAGAAACAAGGCCGGGGTAAGAGGCCTTAAGTAATCCGGCGAATCCGACACGTACGTCAAAAGACGCGAATTTATTGTGCGCTCGCAGTTAACTAACATAGTATACATTTGCTCCTATGTGAGGCACGCTTTTCCCAGAATTTTTCGCAGAATGACTTTTACCATACCTATTAGGCGCTCCCACCAACCTCCCCACCATGCTGCTTTCGGTGGATTAAAGATCCAATTTATTTGTTTCGCGGAGCTATTCTTAGCGATTGCATTCCAATTTAATTTTTCGAATATGTTATTAGCTCCAATAAATTTCGTGCTATTGTCACTGTTGAGGAAATGAGTGGGCTTTATGAGAAGAACGCCGAGCATTTGCTTTGAGTGGTCAGATTTATTTAAAAACGTAAGCGTACACCGCGTGTCGGTTGAGATTCGAATGAGAAGCCGTTGAGCGAATCACGTTTCGTATTTTACAATGAAAATATTATAATGAGCAAACTATAGACGGCCTGATTATATTAATCGGATAAGAGCCGACCGATGATGATTGTAATAATCTCACCGGACTTAAACTTTATGAGAAGACTAATGGTAGAACTAAGAAACACGTGTTGTTTGAACGAGATCGAGAGTACTAATGAAGATAGCTGCCTGAGAAGCCGGCGTCACAGCGCTTCTTCAACCGCCGTGATGAGTTATGGCGAGTCTGCATGGAGCGACAACTGTCGCGAGTTCCGATTAGGCATTAGAAATCCCAAACAGTCACTATAAATGACCGATAGTCGACCGCGGCGAGTAATAAACTTATCTAACGCATCTAGAAATGCCGCCGTCGACATAGCGGTTACGAGTTCTAAATGTACGGCTCGATAGACCGCGCAAGTAAATAAACAGATCCAGGCCTTCTGCCGCCCGCGTAAATATAATGGCCCTGCGAAATCTATACCTGTTATTTAAAACGCAACGGCATCTTTGACTCGATTCAGCGGCAGAGAGGCGAGATTTACTCTCATTGGCTTAGCACCCTGTCTTTTGCAAATAACGCATTTTGAGATTATTTCTCGCACAGTTTTTCTCATACGTAATATCCAATATTTTTCTCTCAATTGACACATCACAGTCTGTACACCAGCATGATTCATACTTTCATGTGTTTCGCGAACTAGCAGTTCCACAACTTTATGTCTACTATCTAATAATATTGGACACAAAAAGGAGAAATTATCATTTCGCTGTATTATTTTCGTTTTTAATCGTAATAACCCATCCGTATGCTTGAACACTTTAATCGCTGACAACTTCGGATCGTTTTTCAGTAAAAACATATCGTGTTGCAAACATTTTAATAATTTTATTTTTGTTTCATGAATCTTTTTGTAAGTCAAATATTTAGTTCTTATATCCTTCTTTATCAAAAAATTCTTAAATCTAATCATAGTACATAGAAATCTTAGGTATTTACTATATGAGGAGAACCTGTTTACCAAGTTCACATCTACACATTTCACATTAAGCATCGTGAGCTTAGCTGACTTCTTGAGCTCGCTATTTATCTCACTTTCGTCAACGACACCTTTCGCACACGGCCAGGTGTTCCGACTCCCGTACAACCAATCCGGTCCCTCCCACCAGCGCGAATCGTACAATTGTTTTGCTTGGCAGCCGCGCGATGGTAGATCGACTGGATTTTGAGGACCAGGTACATATTGCCAAGTCCACGACTATGACAAACGTCTTATTTCGCGTACGCGATTCCACACAAATACGCCCCATTGACTATCACGATTTATCCATGTTAATACAGTAGTCGAATCGGACCAACAAAAAACGGGTATATCTTTACAACTAATGGCCTGTAGAACATCTTCAGTTCGTCGGTTACCTATGCAAGCGGCTAAAAGTTCAAGACGCGGTATAGTCGAATTATCAGGTGCGATTCGCGCTTTCGCCGCCAAAAAATGCAATTTTACTTCGTTCTCGTTCTCTACACGTAAAAATGTTACCGCAGCGTATGCTGATTGGCTCGCATCACAAAAGGTGTGTAGAGAAAAAACGCCTTCACCGAAACTTCTCGGTAATTCTATTCTATTCAAGTAATGTAGCTGATTATACCACGTAAATAATTCCTTATGTGATTTCTCATCTGTTGGTGAATCCCAATCGTGTCCCGATTTACACAATCTTTTCAATATTAATCTCGGAATTATCACAACCGGTGCTGTGAACCCGATTGGATCAAATATCTTATGTGCAGTCGAAAGAATCTTACGTTTTGTTATCTCGTCACTAATCTCTTTAACCAACACAGTTTTAATTGATATCGTATCGCGGGCTTTATTAAACAAAATCCCGAGGACCCGAGTTTCTTCTTTCTCTGAGTTATCATGGGTATACTCCCACCCTTGTAATTCGAAACCGCCTTTTTTCATTATCGATGTTGCCAGTTCAACAAAGGTCTCCAACTCTACTGGTGATTTAACACTGGTGACGCAATTATTCACATAAAAGGATTTCGATAACTTTTCAGTAATATATTTAGGTACCTCTTTTATCCGAGAAATGCGATATTCTAAAACTGCACCTAATAAAAATGGACTACTAGTGAGACCGAAGGAAACGCGTCGGTGACGTAAGGCTTTAATTTTTCCTTTCACGAACCATAAAAATCTTAAATAGTCACGATCTTTCGGATTAATTTCAATTTGAAGAAAGGCCTTGCGAATATCTGCAATTACCGCTATATTGTCTTCTCGAAATTTTAATAAAATTTCAGGAATTAACTCTATAAGATTTGGCCCTTTTTCAAGACACTGATTTAGAGAAGGAAAACCCTTCTCGCTCGCAGAAGCATCAAACACCGGCCTCAGTGGAGTAATACTCCCAGACTTTATGACGTAACGATGAGGTAGATAGTGAGCTCGATTATTCAACTCGTTGTCCGGTACCACTTCGTTTTATTCGGTTTATTCGTTTTATTCGTGTTATTAGTGTTATTCGTCTTATTTTATATTATTCATGTATTTTATATTATTCGTATATTTGTAACATTTCTACATACTGTAACATTCGTATTGTGCTTACTTGTWAAAATAAAGCTGTTTTTTGTTGTTTACCCTTAATCATCACGAGTTCCTAAGGTGTTTTACACATTTTCTGGCGACCGTGACAGGACTTTTTCGGTGGTGATTGAAGAATTGTGCTGATARTAAGTGTTATTTAACCTCAAAATGGAAGCAGCGAAGAAACAAAGAACGGTTCAACGTACGTTTTTTACGAGGAGCTTGAACGCCTTCTCCATGAAATGTGGTAATGCGACTGTTTCCCAAAGTGAACGGCTCGTGGCCTGGCAACTGCTTGAATCAAAAATGCAGGAGCTGGAACTAGCTAATACGAAATATATCGAGCTGTTATCAGAAGTGGCGGAGGAGGCAGCGATTGAAGCTGAAATGGAAGCTCATGATGCGTACAAACAGAAGTTTCTGGAAGGGAGGTTAAAATTCCAGACTAATAATGGTACTCAAATTGGACGGGATGCGAATTCGGTCCAGACAACAGCACAAAGTGGGAAGCTGTTCAAACGCCCACTCTTAAAAGTAGTAAAGTATGGTGGTGGCGTGAGCACGTGGCTTYAGTTTTGGTCGCATTTTCGAAAAATTCATGAAGATGAGTCTGTTTCCAAAGAGGATAAATTAGAATATTTGAAACGGATGATGGAAGAAGGCTCAAAGGCTGAAGATATAGTAAATGGATTTCCYACCACAGCCGAAAATTATGATAAAGCTTTCGAGAGCATTAAAAATCGCTTTGGGAGAGAAGATCTACTAATCGAATTTTATACACGGGAATTGCTCTCATTAGCGTTACAGAATGCGACCAATAAAGGAAAACAAATAAGAGTTTCGACCATGTATGATAAGATATCAGCGCACATCCGCGCTCTCGAGACGCTTGGTGTCAAAACAGATAATTGTGCAACGATGCACTATCCGCTCGTCGAGTCCTCGTTGCCAGAAGAGATCTTGAGGACGTGGCAACGCTCGCCATTGAGTTCAGGGGCATATGACGACGCAGCCGAGGGTGGTTCTACTACAGACCGTCTGTCGAGACTTCTATAATTCCTGAATGCAAGGGTTGCAAATGAAGAAAGAATCAGCATGGCGATTAACGGCTTCAAGTTTCAGGGTGCGATGGGGAGAAGAGACGAGTACAAAAGTAAGGATAAAGTTAGTTCGTCGGTGAAGCAACCGAGTGCGAGCGCGTTATATTCGGGTGAGAAAAAGGTAAAAAATTGTATTTTTTGCAGCGCCGATCACGAAAATGTAGATTGCGATAAAGCTAAACAATGGCCGTATGAAAATCGTAGAGATTTACTTAAAGAAAAAAAGATGTTGTTTTAGATGCTAAAAACAGAATAATTTAATAAAAGATTGTAAAGTGAAAATTTCATGAGAATGGTATGACAGACGTCACTCGATGCTCATGTGTCCGGGATTGCGCGATCAATTTACTAGTGTGACTGTGAGTAAAAATAATTCGTTTAATAAACAAGCGAATGAGCAAGCGAACGTAGAGCAAAATCTCTCAAATTTTAGTTGTATGCCGAATGTAATTTTACAGACTCTTCGGTTTGTTATATATTCGGATTCAAAAGAAAAGGTTGTGCGTGCGGTCATAGACCAGGACTCTCATAGATCGTATATTCGTTCGGAAGTGGCAAAGTTTTTGAAATACGAGAGGCTTGGTAAGAGAGAGAGATATCTCATGCACTTTTTTGGCGGTGTAAGTTCTCAATGCAAGGAACATGATGTTTATTTGATTCGAATGAAAAGTTTAGACGGAAAATACGTATGTAATTTCCAAGTAATGAATGAGRATACTATTTGTACTGATATACCGACGATCAAAAGAGCTTCCTGGATTGAGAAATTGAAGAAAAATAATATTAATCTCACAGATTTACAAAGAAATGTCGATGATTCGAGCGAGACAATCGATGTTTTAATAGGTGCGGACGTAGCTGGTAAGCTTTTTACAGGAAGAAAACTCGATGTAGATAAGAGTTTGTCGGCATTTGAAACAAGATTAGGCAGTGCTGTCAAATCGTGGGTAAATCTTACCCTCTCCTTGTGCCACTGGGATTGCACACAATGAAAGTTTTCCATGTCCGTGTGTTTGGGATGTCGAAAGAAGCCGAGTGTAACCGAAGTTGGCGGGCACGCCGGAGTGACACACTATGAAAGCGACTCGTGTCGTCCGAACACATGGACACGAGTCGCTTTCATAGTTTGCCACTTCGTGGCCAACCGCCAACTTCGGTTACACTCGGCTTTCCTCGACATCCCAAACACACGGACATGGAAAACTTTCATTGTGTGCAATCCCAGTGGCACAGGGAGAGGGTAAGATTTACCCACGATCTGACAGCACTGAGATTAGGTTGGATTATCATGGGTAAAACACCTAAGGTAACCGTCAACGGTCGTCTCCTTAGCAACCGCCAACGGTTTTCCAATTGTTATAAGAAAGAAAATAACACAAAATAAAGGAGAGTGTAACCTAATACGACTTATCGCCTACAATATTTGAAAAAAAAAAATAAAAATATAAAAACTTATTCTTTTATAGATGAAAATGGTGTATGTGATGAAAGTCAATTGTAAATTTAAATTAAGAAAAAAAAAAAAACAAGAGAAAAATTAGGTAGAAAAATTTTTATTTATTTACGTTTTACCACTGTGAATTATATTTTATATCTTTTGTTACATTAATTCAGACTAAATTTATTGTGTCCTTTTTTTGAAAAAAATAAAAAGGTTTGATAACTGTATAGAAAAAAGCTGTCAAGAATAGATCTTTGGAACGAAATTCTTGACTTTCTCTAATACGAGTTCTTAAAATTCAAATTAGAAAATTTTACCTCACAAATCTATAGATTGAAAAAATCTCGATGTATTTTGTTCCAACTCTCTACGTTTTTTCCACGTATCTTTTTTTATCCTAAAAAAAAAATGTTTAATAGTATTATTAAAAATCACTATGTAATAGAAAAAAAATCATGTGTTCAGATTACACATGTTAGAAGTGAAACATTCCAAAAAATGCTGAATGCAATAGTTATAGATAGACACCAAAATCGTTTATAAAGAAAATATAATTCGTCGAAAACTAAGTATATATAAATTATATTTTTTATTAAACTTTTTGATGAGAATGGCCTTGGAGGATGGGTAATGCGTACACTTAGTTCATACTATACTAGCAGTCTTTAATATATATAGGATACATTGAGTTAATTATTTATGCACGCCTATACTAATCGAGCGTTAGAGACGGCTTAACTAGCCGAAACAAGAAGAAGATCAGATTCAAGAACAATATGTCACGCTATATTGCCGGTTAATATATTAATCAATCATATAATAAGTACGCGCGGGAATTAGAAATACAAGCACTCACAGATCATTTTCCAACATTCAGGTATAAAATTTTTTTTGCTAGATGGTTTTAAATTTCCCGTTTTTATCTACATTCTTGCGCTATCTACCAAACATTTTAGGATAGACGAAATAAAGACGTTACGAAAAATATATGGAAAATACTGTTGGTACATTGTAATATTATTATTGTTATTATTATTATTATTATTACTATTGTTATTGTTATTGTTTTTGTTATTATTATTATTATT